CTGGAATGGGGACACTTGTAGTAAATACTGTGCCATTGCTGCATGTTCCCAGGGCTTCTTGCACCCACAGGCTTCTGCTCAAGATTCAGCTGTTAGCTACTCAATAATTTCTAGCAGCTAAAAATTCCTAGCTACAAAGACAGAATCTCCCAGTGTTCCAAAACATCACAGAAAACCGTTTTATTTTGTCAAAAAAAAATTTTTGAATTTGAGTACGTTTACTAACCAGAAAGTAATGAATCATTGTGAGCCTTTAGTCACATTGGCATGTTTAAGGAGAATGAGATAATGTAATTTCAGTAATCTCCATATATCTGCTGGCAGTGATGTTTTTTTTGTTTGTTTGTTTTTTTTCTTGAGTAGCAAAATATTTCTGCCAAATAATAAAGGAAAAAGTAAGTACTGCAAATACTTGTAACAAACAGCATATTGTCAGCTGGAATCGCAAATAATTTCATCCCTCAATAGGCAAACCTGCAGAAAGGCAGTGCCAAAGTACTTGCAGATATTTTCTGATATCTCCTAATGGCTTGTGAAGTAGGTCTAATCCTACAAGGCTGTTGGATTGCTTGAGTAATTTGAAATGGATGAAAGATCAGGAAATGTAAAAAAAAAAAAAAAAGGCAGAAATATTGATAGTTACGTTGTCTCCAGCATGGCTCCTTTCACACATATACTTTCTTTTTTTAAAAAAAATAATCAAGTGGAGGGCTGCCAGCTCACATATCATCCAGTCTTCCTAGCTTCAGGCTGAATGAGAAAAGGTTGCACCTGTCAACTGGAAGATGTACTCCAGGGGGAATGATTTTCAAACCATTCACATGTCATCTTAAGACATGTAATTATACAAAAACCTCTAAACTCTAAAAATTGAAACATAAACGATTTAAATAATAGCAGATACAAGTCCTTTAAAGCATTTATTAATTTTTCTGTGTGAATTTTCATGTGTCCTGAGACTAATTTGTTTCACCGACTGATAAAAGGTTTTCTTCCATTTGTAGATAGATAGTGCTATATACTCAAAGAACTTATTTTTATTCGGTGACTGTAGGTTCATAGAGATTTGTATTATTATCCTCTTTTCAGTTATAAATAGTCAGCCTTAGAAATTGACTGGTTTAAAAATAAACCACAAGAAATCTGATTTTTTACAGGAAAAACAGTTACACTTATTAGGTATGGGGTGGTGGTGTCTTTTCTCACCTATCAGACCTTCCATCTCTTTTAGTTTCCACCAACAGCTAGAATGTAAGAAAGCAATGATGGCAACATCCTTAGATAAAGCAGAGGTAGTTAATAGGTACATTACTGACAGGGAACTTCCAGCATGGATATTGGATGTGAAATTCTTTGTCAACTTATTGCAAATGCAAAACTACTTCATACCTCATATTTTTGTTTCAGTATTTCCTTGCTATGGCATTGCCTGTGGTAAGCTAGATAACTGTGGTAAACTTTTTAACCCACTCCCCAAGTGTGTTAATAGCTAATAATCATTAGAAACAGAAAGTTACTTCAGTTAGGGACTTAGCTGTCTTTTGCTTCTCTTTCTTTTCCCAATCTTTGTTCTACCTCCACTTGACATAGATGTGGATTCTGGCTAATTAATGACATTTTCTTTGATATAGCATGGAAAGGAGAGCAGAAATAAGGACAGAAAGATTAAAATAGTATAACATATTCTCTTGATTTTATGTGTAACCACCAAAAAAATGCAGTGAGACTGAATAGGTGGATTCCTTTCACTATATTGTTTTCCATATCAGTGTAGGGTGTCCTCTGCCTTTCAGATACAGATTCTCAGTCTCAGAAAATAGCAGTAGGCCTCAGGTTTACCCAGCCATATATCCCCAGCCCTCTGATATTCAGCAGAAGGATGCTTTAAGAAACAAGGTTTTGTTTACCACTAGCAACTTACAGTTTATTTCTTTCTGTTGTTTCAAAAGTATAGAAAGCCCTCAATAAGCATCAAAACTCTTGGTTTTGTGTTTGTGCTTGTAGCACAGCCTGCGGTTCCCAGATACTCCTTATCCCTGTGTCCTGTTCTTCTAGACTGTTTTTCTTAAACTATGTCACAACTGTAATGATTTATCTTGTGAGAATTCTCAGTATGTTCTCTAGCTGTACTCTATTTTTTTTCTCTATGTATCATACACCTCAGTAATTTTCCATTGCTACTGTTACAAAGCCATCAAACTTAACATTACTTAAATCTAATTCTAAAGGTTTCTATATTCCATTTTGTGATTTTGTGCCCCCTTGTTTCAAATTCCCCCCTTTTTCTGTCCTTTTGCAAATTCTGTTGCAACATTTTATATATTACCATTACCATCAAAATTCTTCCTGAAATAATTTCCTATTTCTACTTGGTGCTTAATTTCATTCCTTTTCCAATCATAGATCGTTTACAACACCAGAGGGAACATTGTATCATACCACAAGTAATCAATATTAAATTAATTAACATCAATATTACTGCAACCAGTTGCCTCAACCAGGAGAGATTGGGTAACCATGAAGTTAACTTTTTCCATATTTCTTCAAAACCCCAGGAGGTGTCATTCATGGCCATTTCATGAAATATCTTAGTTTGTTTCCAAATTTCCTCCAGATCTGTTTCAATTCTGCCACTTTGGTCTATATAGGAACAACAGCTTTCATTGATTTATGGAACAAACCCCTCCTTGTGATGCCAATAACATGTCTAGAGACATTCGGTTTTGTAAAACCACTTTAGAGAGGCTGGTTAAAATTGGGTATTACAGCACCTAAGGTGCATGCCCCCTTCCAGTTGGGGGGTAGAGTCTTATAAGCATTTTCTCCACATAACCAATACCATCCTTTCCCTTTAGGAACGGGCCATCACTGAACTACGATACCATCTGTGTTAATAGTATGATTGCAATTTGAATGGTGACCTACATCTGTGGCATTTAAGCAAGATTTCCTACCCTGGTTCCTGGTGTAATACATCTTTGTGCACAGGTGTAATATTTATTACTTGGATTAGGATTAACTATTCCAAATTTTAACCTTTTCTTCGAATATAGATTGCTAGTGTTCACCCACAAATTTGTCCATGAGACAGTGTTAGGAATTGGAACTCCAATTAATGGGAGATCCAGGCTTTCTCCTGATTTAGGCAACTGTGCACACACCCAACAGTCACTACGATTAAAAACATTAGTAACATTCTGCACTAATTTCAGGTATAAGTTCTGGTCCCAAGCTTGTGTGCCAGTTATCATATCAGTCCAAATTATGACCGATGCAATTCATACATAAGGGTCCTGAAGGTTTGATCCGCCATGTCTTCTCTGGCTCTGGTGCTTTCTTAATTCTTGAATAATGTATCCAAGCAGGTTGTTCCTTTATCTTCACTGCTGTAGAGGTGGTCAGTAATATCTGGTACGATCCCCTCCACTTCTGTAGAGGATCTCCTGAAAAATTCTTAACATAAACCCAGTCTCCAGATCTGAAAGGGTGAATTGGATAATCCAAACCTCTTGCTCTTGTCCCTACTATTCTATCTCCTCCAATTGTTTTCCCAGATTGATCAGAAACTGTCAGAGATAGCCTTCTCCAACTTCCTGAAGACTTTCTCCTTTAAACTGGGACTGATATGGTCTTCCATAAAAAATCTCAAATGGACTGACCTCTTCTTTCATCCAAGGTTTAGTTCGAATTCTTAATAGAGTCAGTGGTAACGCCTGGTACCAACAGAAATTCGTTTCCTGACGTATTTTACTAATCTGTTGTTTAATCAGATGGTTCATCTTTCGTACTTGCCCACTGGCCTGAGGCCTATATGGAACATGTAGTTGCCAATCAATTTCTAATTTTTTGCTAATTTCTTGTTACAATTTAGCACTAAAGTGTGAACCCTGGTCGGAAGAAATTGCCACCAAAACGAGGTATTATTTCATTTAATAATGTTTTAATCATCTGTCTTGCATTATTTATCCTACAAGGGAATGCTTCTGGCCAACCTGAAAAAGTATCTGTTAACACCAACAAATATCGATAACCCCCTCTTCTTGGTAATTCAGAAAAATCTGTTTGCCACTGCTGTCCTGGAAAACTTCCTCTCCCAATTTTCCCAATTTGATTTCTATTTTCACTTTTAGGATTATTCTTAAGACATAACTGACATTGTTTTGTCACTAATTGAACTGTGGTGTATAGATTCCTTCCTACAATTTGTTTGTCTAAATATTTATACAAAGAGTTGCTACCCCAATGAGTTTTATTATGTTCTTCCTGAACTAACTTCCAGAGTTGGTTATAGGGGATTACAATTCGCCCATCAGGTATTTGAGGACAATCCTCTTTATTTTCCTGTCCCTTTAGATCCTCAATCAATTTTCTATCCTCTTTTGAATACCTAGGTTTAGATTTTTTTAAATTGTTAGTTTGCTGTCAGTGATTAAGGACATGATTTGAGATTGTTCAGGTGCTCGTTTGGCTTCAGAATCAGCCAAATTATTTCCAATTTCCTGATCAGAGTCACCTTGTTGATGTCCTTTACAGTACATAATAGCTACTTCTTCAGGTAGCTGAACAGCTTCCAGTAATCATAGAATTTCTGTAGCATGTTTAATCTGTTTCCTGTTGTGTGTTCAAAAGTCTTCATTCTTTCCAGATAGCACCATGTGCATGTACCACAACAAATGCATATTTAGAATCAGTCCAAATATTTATCCTTTTATCTTTAGCCAATTCCAGGGTTCTTATTAATGCTATTATTTCTGCCTTCTGGGCAAAGGTGTTCGCAGGTAAAGGTTTAGCTTCTATTACCTGTGAAGTGATGGTAATGGCATATCCTGCCTTTCGTTTACCATTTTTCCTGAAGCTACTACCATCAGTAAACCAAGAATCAGCATCTTCCAGAGGTTTTTCTTTCAAACCTGGTCGGCTCAAATATACAGTCTCTATGGTGGTCAAGCAGTCGCGTGTTACTGGTTCTGTCGATTGTTCCTGCAAAAAGGGTGCTGGATTCACATTGTTAGTGACCACAATTCTATATCATCCTGTTCTGCAGCGGTGGCCTGGTTTTTTGAAAAACGTGAAGGAGATAACCAGTGGGCTCCTTTCTGTTCCAGGACTGCTGATACCACATGGGACACTAGCACAGTAATCTTTTGCCCCAAGGTAAATAAGCGGGCCTCTTCAATATTCATGATGACTGCTGCCACAGCCCTTAGGCATCTGGGCCATCCTTTGCTCACTTCATCCAGCTGTTTTGAAAAATATGCCACTGCCCTTCTGTATGGTCCTAGTTTCTGAGCAAGGACCCCCAAGGCTATTCCTTGTTTTTCATAGGAATATAGCCAAAACGGTTTAGTCACATCCGGAAGTCCCAGAGCTGGAGCTCTCATTAACTCTATCTTTAAATTTCTAAAAGCCTCCTCTACTTTATCAGTCCAGTCCAAAGAGGGAGGGTTTCCCTTCAACAGTTCGCATAGTGGTCTTACCAGAACACCATAATCATGGATCCAAAGTCTGCACCATCCTGTCATTCCCAGGAATGTCCGGAGCTCCTTGACAGTCGACGGTTGTAGAATCTGGCAAATGGCTTCTTTTCTGGCAGTTCCAAGTTCTCTCTGTCCTCCTGTTATTTCATATCCTAGGTAGAAAACTCGGGTTTGGATTAGTTGGGCCTTTTGTCTGGATACCTGATAACCATTCAGTCTCAGAAATTCAATAATCCCACCATTCACTGGACACATTCTTCCTTTGTTTCTGTAGCATTTAACAGGTCATCCACATATTGTAACAGAGTCCCTGTCTGAGCAGGTGGCTTTCATAATTCTAATTCTCTTGCTAACTGATTTCCAAAAATCGCTGGACTGTTTTTAAACCCCTGTGGTAATACTGTACAAGTTAATTGAGTTTTTCTTCCTGCGTCAGGATTTTCTCATTCGAAAGCAAATAATTTTGGCTTTCTTTGGCCAATGGTAAGCAAAAGAAAGTGTCCTTTAAATCCAGGACGGCAAACCATTTCTGATTATTATACAATTTAGTCAATAAATCATATGAATTAGCTACTACTGGACAAATATCCTCTGCAATTTTGTTGATTACCCTGAGATCGTAAACCAATCTGCAACTTTTCCCATCATATTTCTTTACTGTCCAGATACGAGTATTATATTCCAATTCACATTCAATTAATAATCTATATTTTAAAATTTATCAATTTTTTTTTTTTATTCCCTTTGATCTTCTAATTTTAAGGGGTATTGATTTATTCTAATTGGGCAGGCCCCCCTTTTTATTTCCACTTTAACAGGCAAAGCATTTTTTTGCCTTACCTGGAACTTCAGATGTCCATACTCCCACATATACCTAATTAAGGATTTCTTCTACTTCAGGGAGGTCCTTCTTTTTACTTTTCTGTTGCATTAAAGATAAACTCAAAACTGCAATTAATAGACTGTTTTTAAGTCTAAATTCCATTTTGCTTTCTTTAAATGTTGCTTCTCACCCTAATAAAGATTTTAGAGGATTTGGCATGCATAAAAATTTATGCATTCCTATCTGTTTTCCCAATTTGTACTTTAAAGGTTTCAGACAGAATGTCTTGTCTTTTTTTTTTTTTTTTTCTGCTTTCTCTTGGTGGCCAGTAGCACCCACATCTGTAACAAATTCTCTTTCCTCTCTGATTTAACACCAAATAAGTTGCTCCTGTATCCACTAAAATTCCTCTTTATTTCCTCTAGTCTGTAGTTTTAATTTAATCAGTGGATCTGCTCGGGTAGATTCCCCAGGTACCTCTCAGTCTAGTTCCAATTCAGTCACCGGAGCCACCCCATGGCACTGCACACACCCCCCCCCCCCAGGGCAGTCTCACTTCCAACGTCCAAACTCCCCATAGCACGCACACCGATCCGTTTCCACAGAAGAGCCCACTCCCGCAACCTCTGCCCGTTGTCACTCCTCCATGCTCAAACACAGGAGCTGCCCGAGCTCCCCCCCTTTCCCCCTTGGTTTTCCCCTTTTTTTTTTTCCACAACTGCTTACCCTGCTCCGCAGGGGCTGCAGATGCCTGCCTCTGCAACAGCACTTCTGGTTTAACCCCTTCGTAACTCTGAATGTGAATGTGCCACTTGTTGCCAGTGACAGCAATCTCTTCCTCCTTATCAATATCAGATGGGACAGATGCAGAGGGTGATCCTCTCGGAGGTACCTGCGATACATGATTTTCCAACCTATCTTCCTGATTACTGTTTTTTAACTTTAAACATCTTTCCCCAATATCACAGGCTGAACATCTCCAGCTTAACTTTGAGTTTTAGCCTGTCCTTTTCCAAAGCCAAAATTAAGGAATCTGGCAGAGCTATATTAATTTTGCATTCAGTCTGTCACTCCATGTGATTTCTTAAAGTGAAAAACATATCTGCATACATTACTTCATACCATTTTCCTTACCCCCTCAAAACAACATTAATTGTAACAATGTATTATAGTTCAGAGTTCCATTTTTAGGCCATTTTTCCTGATCTTCCAAAGTATACAAAAGCCACCATTGGTTACAATATTTTACCAATGTTTTCTTATTTACCGAGCCCCCAGGAGACCCTCCAAGTTCTTTCCAGTGTGCCAAAACGGACCCAACGGACTCTTTTTCAAGGTCTCTTCACTCTGCTGATTTTTCATTATCAATCTCACATTCACACACACACACACACACACACACACACACACACACACAAACGGGATCCCACAGACACACTCCACACAGTTACAACACTTGAGACAGAGACTAAAATTCAACCAAACAAACAACAGTTAATAACACAGTTATCCTGTCACGAGTACCAAAATCACAAGACCAAAATCATTACTGTAACAAGCCACAAAATAAGACTAATACCAGTAGAATCAAAAGCAATACATCCTAACACCTATGGATCAGACCATATTGTAACATTAATAGGGGGGTTCCTTGAACCCTTTATAGTTGACCAGACTGTCAGTGTCCCAAGAAGGACGAGACCCTTGTGCCCGACCAGCCTGTCTGTGTCCCACTGTGGGACATACCGGACAGCCCACTGTATCAGAGGGTGATTCGACTAGCCTATTCAGGGACCCACGCTGACAGCATCACTGAATCAAATCCCTTATGGGCTGTTGATAGCACACTGGACCCAAAACCATTTCCACAAGACACCCCCTGTGTCTTGTAGGGCCCAAACCACAAGATGCCCCCTGCTTAGTTATAACAGTCTGTCACTGATACCAAAATCACAAGACCAAAATCCTTATGTAACAAGCCACAAAATAAATGCCAACAAGATCCAAAACCATTTCCACAAGACACCCCCTGTGTCTTTCAGGACCCAAACCACAAGAAGACCCCTGCTTCTTATGCATGTATACCAGTAAAATCCAAAACCATTTCCACAAGTGTTGTGGTTTAAACCCAGCCAGACAGCTTGTTCACTCACTCCCCTGCCCCCCCCCCCCCCCCCCCTTCTTGCCCTCCCCCCTACTCCTGGAGGGGTGGGGAGGAGAATCGAAAAGAATGCAACTCCCCGGGTTGAGATAAGAACAGTTTAGTAACTAAGGTATAACACAAATCACTACTGCTACCGCCAATGATAACAATGATAAAGGAAATAACAAGGGAAGGGAATACAACACCTCAGCACCAGCTGACCAATAACTCACCTGCCCCCCCCAGCCTGACCAAGCACCGACCGATACCTCCTCCAACCCTGCAGTCTCCCAGCCCTTCCGCCTAACTCTCCATTACCTCCTGGGCATGACGTGCTGTGGTATGGAATACCTCTTTGGTCAGTTTGGGTCAGGTGTCCTGTCTCTGCTTCCTCCCGGCTTCCCCTCCTCCCTGGCAGAGCATGTGGCTCGCAAAATCCTTGGCCAAACCAAAACATCACTGTTATCAGCTCTGTTCCCAAGCCGAAAGTCAAAACACAGCACTGCACCAGCTGTGAAGAAGGAGAAAAATGACTGCTACTGCTGAACACAGGACAACAAGACACCCCCTGTGTTTTGCAGGACCCAAACCACAAGAAGCCCCTTGCTTCTTGTGGGTGTATACCAAATGGACGCTAGCAGCCGGGTATACACCTTTACCTACGAGATTTTCTATCTTCATTTATGGAAGGCTTCCAAACCATGCGTACGCTTACCAACGCTTTACCAAACCAACTTACCAAACCAATTTACCAAACTGAGATGCCCCCTGCACCTTACAAACCATATAAAAGAAAATTTACCAAACCAATTTACCAAACCAATTTACCAAACCGAGATGCCCCCTGCACCTTACAAACCATATAAAAGAAAATTTACCAAACCAATTTACCAAACCGAGATGCCCCCTGCACCTTACAAACTATATGAAAGAAAAGAATACCTTTTATGAGATGGTCCTTGTCTGCTCCTGCAGCTATCCGAATGAGTCGAGGGGTCTCTCTGGGAAAAATTCCCGAGGGCCCTAGGGAGCCCTGTCCTCAGCAGGTCCTGCAGCCGAGCAGAGAGGGTCCCATCTGGGTTGCCAAATTGATACGGAGAAAACTCCAGAAACAAACTTGCCAACAAAGTTTTCAAGCTGACAAGCAGGTATTCTTTATTGCGTCGCCGGGAGACACGGGGAATAGCTCTCCCCATTGCCACACAAGCCGTCCTTTTATAGCCACTGGGCATACATACATATTCATGAGGCTACGTATGGATTACATAATTTTCCAGAAAGTTCCCCGCATGCATACAGAATTGTGGTGGTGGTCCCCGAGGGTTGTTTACTTCTTCCAACAATCTTCATCGCTTCTGGCAGCCTTTGAAGCATGCGCAGTAGATGCTCATACCAGTTTAATTGGTTCGTTAGCACCAGAGACATAATAATCCTCCTGTCCTCCTACTTATCAGTTAGTTTAACTGTAGCCCATCCTGGACACCTGCGGTTCCTAGATACTCCCTATCCTGTGTCCTGTTCTTCTAGACTGTTTTTTCTTAAACTATGTCACAACTATAATGATTTATCTTGTGAGAATTCTCAGTATGTTCTCTAGCTGTACTCTATTTTTTTTCTCTATGTATCATACACCTCAGTAATTTTCCATTGCTACTGTTACAAAGCCATCAAACTTAACATTACTTAAATCTTAATTCTAAAGGTTTCTATATTCCATTTTGTGATTTTGTGCCCCCTTGTTTCAGATGTGACCTTGCAAACTGCAGTCTGATTGGTTGCAGCCTTGTGGATATTGTCCAAGATCTGTCCTGTAGCTAACCCAACTCAGCAGAAGAGAGAATTCATATATATATATGTACATATGGTACATGAATAATGCATATATGCATATATGCTTATGTTTTCATATATGTATATACATTCTAATACAGCCATCGATAAACATGTAAGTGTACTTGGCCTTGCTTTTTAAGCAAGTCTACATCAGAAGCCTAACTGTAAATGATAATTATGAAGATCCATGCCTTGTTCCTTTGAAATGAGTGTGTGAATTTTATATCATAATTTAACACACACACACACACACACAAAAAAAAAGCTGGTTTCTTCTTTTCTAGCTTTTTCTGTGCATGTTAATCAAATACAAGGTAAAATGTAGTCCAGAGCTAATTTTTTTTTGAGAAAATAACTTTTCTAGGAGCTAATAAATACATATCCTAAAGATGAAATGAAAAAATGCTTTGTGAATACTTGCTTCATGAAAGATGTATCATAACATATCCAAAGACTAATGAAAAAAGAAATGGCTTCCTAGGAATGTATTCACACTTGGTATTACCAATTCTGTGTTAAGAAATGCTTTAATATATTGCCAAAGCAGTTTTCCAACATCTAAGTGGATGAGTGATCAAAAAGGCAAAGGAAAATGAAAAAGAAAGAAAAATCTTTCATGTCAAGAAAAATGGCCTGATAAAAATTTTTCCAAAAGTTGAAAATGGTGAAGAGAAATGCATTGTCTCAACAAATAGCATTTTGTAATCAGAGTTTTGGCAATTTTTGCAATCATCATGACAACCCCTGTGGGCTAATGACTTCCATGGTGTCAAGATGTAACTTTGTTTTCCTAGATTTCAACTGCATCAGCTGCATTGGAAACAAGGGTATCAACAAAAAAGGCTTGATTTCATGTTGTCATTTCTCTTAAATTTTAACTGTTTCAAACATTATTGAGACAAGTACCACAGCAATTTGGCCAGCAGTTCATGAGCAATTAACAAGAAATGAGATTCATACATAGACAAACATGGTGCTCCTGCCAATCATTGCGTACTTCTGTTACCATAAACTTTTAATTATAAAAAAAAATTATTCTAATGTAACTCACAGAGCCAATATTCTGATGGTCTTCATTTTGTTATGCAAACACATAAAGACAGTAAAATTCTACAAATACATTACTGAAGCACTGTAAGTTCAGTTGGAAAAGTGTATTTAATAAATGCTTTCATCATATACTCTCTGATATAACTTACAGATTTCTGTTGAGTATTATCTTCCTAGAAGTATATTTAGAACTGGTTTAGAGAAAGCCCTAGAGATATCAAAGCTGGAACAATGGAGGACTTCATAATCACATTAGGGAAGTGTTGTTTAGCAAGATCATGAGTAATATTACTGTAGAAGCTAATACATACTGTCAACATATAAAATGAATTACAGTGTGTTAAGTAAAAAAATAGAAAATTTAGATATCAAAAATTTAGAAATTTTGGGTTTTTTTATGCCATTTACAGTCTCTTCCAAAGATTTGAAAAAAAAAGCTTCCAATAAACAGCAGGGAATTCTTGTTTGCTCATTGGCAAATAAATTATTTATAGACTGAAACAGTAGGATGAGTATGATCATACATAAATAAGTATTCTGAAGCTTCAGAGGAAAAAGACAGGAAGAGTTACAAAGAATGTGTAGATTTGTTAAGATTCTGTCTTGTTTAGATTTGGTTGTTTCATTTTTACACGGAAAGATGTCTCAACAGTGCTATACCATAGAACACAAAAATATTAACATTGTCTTACATAGTTAAAATGTTAACAGGGAAATAAAATGCTTGAAAAAAAAATCAGGTTTGCATTCAGCAGAATTCTTTTAATTATAAAGCACACTATTTTATCTGAAAGTTCTGGCTTCTGACTGAAGCTGTGTGTCTTCTGAAATCTGTTATTTAAATTGATGCCTAATAAAAACCCTCCAAAAAACAGGAGTCATGATGGGAATTTCTTGGACAATGGCAACAAGCAAAACAAAAATCTACAAAAGTATTTCCTTCCCTTTCAATAATTCTTTCTTCTATTGAATGAATTAGTATGGTAATGGATCTTATCTGAAAGGAGTAATAAACCCAAGGTAATAGAGTTAAAACAGTCTATATCTGAATATTTCTGTATCTTTCAGGTACAACTGAGTAACTGAAATAGATGTCATTACTATTTAAGCAATATCTACACAATATGTGCACTATTTTTAGGAGAATTTATTAATATATGATTTTATTTTTTCTTTGGGAGCAGTTGTTATACTCTTAAATATGTGAGTATAGGTAATAACTCTGACAGCTAGTGTGCTTATGACAGATGACAACATACCTTCAAATTATGCTGTCTGTGCTAAAATAGCCCAAAAAATGGAGATTTACATTAGACTAGTCTTTCATGTGCTTTTCTCAGATTCAAAACTATGTGGAAATTATATAGCTTAGTATTAATCAAGCGTATCTCTCTTTCTCAATTGAACATGAAATGCATTTTTCCTAGGTTTTTTTTCCTTTTTTTATTTTTATAAAAGGCACTAGACCCAGCATAAAAAGTTTCATCTAAAGTGTCTTTTCTGTGATTGTCAGTCACCACTGCACTCATCAGTTCAGGTTGATGTCTTTTATATGATTTGCTTGATGTTCTTCCTATCATGCCACTACAGAATCAAACTGCATTTATTATTCTTTAAATACTGTAAGCTGAAGCTGTATCTGAGTATCTTTAAAACAAAATTTATTGCTTGTTCAGCTAACAGTGGATAAATGTCCCTTTCTATAGTTTCCTTTTTTGTACCAAACCTGTAAATCATTGTGCAATTTATGCTAACCAGTATATGCATAGCCATTTTATAGGTCTGAGGTGAAAGGACTGTTTCCATTAGTAATCTTTTCCTTTAATATTTTCAATTTGCAGTGTTCAGCGTAGAACTCTGTGCAGTGACACTGTGGTCATGGGCATGATGGGGACAAGAATGCCATGCTAGATTGGACTAGACTCACTTTCCATTTTTAAAAAAACTGTGGCAAATAGAAGGAAACAAAGGGAGTAGGTGTTTTGCGGTAATACTGTCAGAGAAGTAAAGTATAAATTTTTATTCTAGAACACTAGTTATCTGGTTTTGAACGGGCAAAAAAATGCTATTAGTTTCTCTAAGTCTCTTTTTTTTGGAACTTCACACTGATGCTGTAGAAGAACGAGAATGACCCAGTAATGCTTTTCAAGTAGAAAAAGGGAAAAGGGATATGAATTAACAAAACGGTCTCCCATAAGTTGTCCAAATTCAAGCTCCCTAATAAAGTCATTTTTTTCCACTATAAGGGTGTTGACAAGGTATGGTTTAATGGAGGGATTTTGCAATGATTAATTAAATGCAGTGATTTGAATGTAGTGATTTGACAGCCTGTCAAAATAGTCAAAGCTATAAAATTAAGAACTAGACAGATCAGGATAGTAATCTATAATTACTTGACACTTCTTTTTTTCAATAACTGGCCTATTTTCTCCCTGTGCCTTACTTCTTCATGTGTGCAGTAATGACTTGTAATTACAGATTTTTTTTTGAAAGTCATAAGAGGAACTGCTTCTTCAGTTTTTACTGCAGACATTGCCACCTTCTTAATTTTTTACTGAAGAAGTTTAACCATAATCTTCTAGATTGAACAAATTCATAATTGATGTGGAAAGGTGCATCATATTTTTCACATGTGCTTTTTAGTAGAGACATCATATACAAACACAAGATGGGCTTTTCTTCTTTGGTGGAATGTTGATGAAACGAAGGTGGATATCCTGTGGTTGTATGACTGGAAATGTGCCAAATGATGTGGGTTGATGCCTGAATTACAGAGATTCTAGAGGAATCCAGATATACCTCATATACCAGTTACTGGTTTTGTGGACATGATATTGAATATATTTATGAATTGCAACCCAGGGGAAAAGAAAAAAAATATATTGCTTTTCATGCCTGCAGCTGCTCAGTGTTGTATTGTACTGTATTCAGAATAAGCTCAAGGAACAACTTTTCTGACATAGAGCAAATACTATATATATTATTTCTGTTTTGATGATTATGATGATTATTACTTTTGCATTTGTTTTGTTGTATATTATTCATTATGTTTTATGAACATTAAGCTGAGTACAAGGACAATGCCATCTTTTTTGTTGTTTTTTATGAGGTATTAACATACACGAATCGTTAGCCCAGATGTAGTTGAAGCCAGAAGCTGTGACAGCTGAGAAAGGGCTGTATATTTCTAGTGAGATGAATACTGTCCTTAGTTAAAAAATAAGCTACTAACAGCTATTTAGGATACTCATCTTTTTCATTAATAATGTAAGCCATGACCTAAATAGTTGACTGAGAAAAAAAATCGCTTCCAGGACAGTTTTATTGTAAATTTATTATACCATGTTTGCTGGGTTGGGTTACTGTTGGGCTACTGTTGCGTTACATTGGGCCACTGTTACAATCCTGAATATTAATTAAGGTTCCCTGAATAGTATTTTGCTTTAGTTCTGCAGAAAAAATAAAAAGGGTCAAAAGCACACCAACTTCAGATTTATTTTTTTTTTTTACCCTGCCAAGGTGAAATTCAGTCCTAACTCTTGACAATCTTTGTCAAATTGAAGAATTCCAGTCAATATGAAATAAAAAGAAGTGTGAATGAAAGGCTACATTCATAAAACTAATGGCAAAGAAGTAATTTTCCTCCCCCTTGCAGAATGTAGCTCTGGGTGTAATTCACCAATGCTGAAAGAGGAAGTTCTCATTCTTTTCCTCAAGAGGTGTGAATTTGATCATTTAACCCAAATTAGTGCCCTAGCTACCAGCAGATAAGTATCCCAAGGTCTCTTTGATGCTGCTTTATCTCATGTCTAATAAATAAAGCTAGGAAATTCAGTGAATCAGTGAACCTCAGCATTAAGTTGGAGTATTATTCTCTACCGGTGGCTCTAGGACAATTCTATTCAAATTAAAGCAGTTTAACAAAAAGGAATATGAAGGTACCAAATCAAAATTTTACCTCTTGTATTATTGTTTAGGAAACTTACATATCAGTTGAGAAACTTCTGCTGAATTCACTTTTTATTTAATTTGAGAATAGGGATTACAATGCAAATTCTCAGGTTATATTGCACTTGAATTCTTAGAGTTTTTTTCTGTTGCTTCATGTATAGCTTTTTATTTTTAAGATCTCAGGAGTTCTTGTTTCACTTTGCGTCCTGAGGCATATTGTGAAGTTGAATTGTTAGGTAGGTTAAGAAGGTTAATCTTCTTAAAATGAAAAACTAAAAAAAAAAAAAAAAAAAAAAAAAAATTATCATTTTAAGATCTTCATATGCTGCAAGACCTAGGCCAGTAGCAATCACTTTCTCAGATGGTGTAATGCAATGTGATTCCAAAGACATTATTGAACCTAAACCCCTTTATCCCAGCAGAGAACCAAGGCTTGTATCAATAACGAAGCGCAACTACAAAAGGGCAAGTTTCAAAATACCATAATTCTCTGAACACTTGCTGACACATGAAATAGAACAATAACTTAAAATTCTGTTTTGTTTACTATTCACTTCATCTGTTTGAGATAACATCTTTATAACTTTGTCTTCTCTTTTTTTTAACAGCACCTTCAGACTTAAAGGAATATCTATACCTGGAGGCACATCAGATAATTTCTTGCATATCAGATTCATCATAGTGACTTCTGCAGGCCAGATCTGAGAAGTACCCAGGAACCTGACCCTCTGAGGAGAATGGAAAAGCCCTTCAAGTCAGAGCACAACTGATCATGAATGTAATCTGCATTGAATCAGCTTTCTCAGATCTAACAGCTACAAGCTGAGTCCTGGCAAAAGCCACAGCCTTAAATTCCATTTAGTGGGAAAGAAGAATATAGAGGACTAAATGTCTTGCCCCATTGCAGAAACTGCTGTCTCCGAGCCTGACACTTGAGTCCTGTGCTGACCAACCAGAGTAACAAACAATGAGTTTTTCATAGGTCCAGCCAGCATCCACAAATATTTCAGTATGTAGCCAAAAGGAGAGATGAAGCACTTAATTAATAGCAGAAAATTAATTCATTTACTATAACAGAGGAATGTCTGTCTATAGGGAAAGAAACCCTTGTACATATTCAAAGCCATACAGGAACAGAGCATCGGTGATGTTAAATTGCCTAAAAGGACACTGTCTCCTGTCCTCCACCCAGCTTTGAAGTTCAGCTGTTAGAGATTGCATCTCAATGCACTTCTAGTATTTGCACTGTCACTTCCATTCAGGGTAATGATGTGTGTCACCCTTTGCACAGATGGCCCCAGGAGATTTTTGACCACAGCAAGCTATATTTTGTTGGGGCTCCAAAAGGAAAGTTAGAACTGAAGAAGAATATTTGCGCTCTCTTTCACTATGGGGATCTCTTCACAGAAAGGACTATGGTCTTTTCTTTGGTTTAAATAAATACATACATATACATACATATATATATATGTATATATATGAAAAAGCATCAACATGATAAGGTGTATTTAAAACGGGGATATAATCTTTTTTATTAGCATCCATTTTTTATCGTATTAGCAACCAAGAAATTTAGTCTATGGAATTATACATCCAAAATGTTCCTATTGAACATTGACATTATAGTCCCAGTTACTGTTAAAGAAGTCATTTGTAATATGTATTTGACATAAATTTTTTCTAGCCATTTGTCTATGCTTCATGGAGATACCTAACAGACAAGCAGCATTTTCAGTTTATTTTTCTAAATAAATTTCTTGTTTGTATTATTTGCAGTCACTCATTTTGGCTGGTTTTCGTTATCTCCAAAAATGATTTAAAAAGACAGAACCAAAACGCAGAAATTGTTCATATTAAGCTGTAATGATTTGCTGACCAAAAGCTTTAATATAAAGACTGTAATTTTTAAAATGATGAAGTATATTTATACAGGCAAATATGTATGGAAAACAAAAGGAGGTATTTTAACTCTTAATTTCAGAACATAGTTTATTTTAATATCGACATGAAGAAGTCTAAATATATAATGAGATAGATTTTTTAGTATCAGTGAGTTTTAGCAAGTGAAGATTTGGGTGCTGAAGAGTGAAAAGAATGTAATCTAATAATGGTGGTTTCCCAAATTATGCAGAGACCCTTTGTCAGTTGTCTCTTTTTATTCAAAAACTGGTTTTATTTTTTGAGGTTTGGGAGATGTGGGGTTTTTTTCTCTGTGTGTGTGTAGGGCTGTTTGTTTGGATTTTGTTCATTTTATCATACTGAAAAGGCCATGAAGTTGATACTATTTCATCACAAATGGAGAAGATACAGAATAAGAGATTGTTTCTTAGAACAATCTACAGTTTACAGTTAAGAAAACTCATTGTTATCCATCTACTGAAGTGTTTTGTTGTCAAGCTATTGAATATTTCAATGCTAGAGCTGTTTTGAATAAAATATATTTTTTCCTTTTTTCCTAGTCCATTAGCCTGTGTGTAATTTTAAGAGAATAGTGAAGCACGTGATTCCCAGTTCACTTAAAATATTCATCTTAAATCCAGTCACATGTATCTGATTTATAAAGCTGAGTAGTTTTTTCTTTATTTTCAATGCTTTATGAGACCCATGAAGTGCTCAATAACAGAAAAATTATCTTTCAAAAACAAAAAAAAGGAAAATTTAAGCCTTTTTTAATCTATAGGTTAACTTCGTAAAGGGCAGATATCTTAAATGTATTGCTCTGCTCTAATGTACAAAATAGTGTATGTGTGTGTGTTTGTGTGTGTCCACACATGTGCACCCTTACCTGCTGATGAATGAAATGCCAATTTTGCTGAAGTGCCACAGGTCCTGTTACTGCAAAAGATTGTCATATTGTTGTTTTTCTTGGAGAAAGGCCTGAGCCCTGTCTTTGCTTGTGATTCTGAAGCCATAAATATATTTTGTCAGGAAATCAGAAAATGAAATTATGAAGTGAATATTAGCCTCCCTCATCTGGCAAAACTTGGCATAATCTCATGGTTTGACTCTTTTTAAGCAAAGTTAGTGGTCAGTTTCGATTGGTGCAATGGATAAATGAAACTTTGTTAAAGAATGATGGCTGTGTTTTACTCCCACACATTTTAGCTTATGGTTGGCTTATAGTTTTTAAACTATGATTTCGTTTCTGTGTCATTAGAGTAACATACTTGGACACAGAACTTGCATAGGCTTGGGTTTGCTTCCTCCTTGGATAACCTGTATTTTAAAATTGGAGAGCTTACTCTTTGAGACTAGTATTCAGAGTTGTTTAAAGTAGGGACAACATTATCAAAACAATGAGAAAATTTCAGAATGATAATTTGAGCACTTCCATTATTATCTAATAATAATAATATTTGGAAAAGCTCCTATTTTTGTGAACAAAATGCATTCATCTATATTTGGAAATAGCCCAATAAAAATCTACTGAAATAATTCATTACTACTTGCAAATACTTTTCTGCTATGCTGAATTCTAGATGAGATCATGTGTGAAATTTTTATTGTACAAAAACCATCCAAACAATGCAGTTTTCTTCAGAAAAATACAGCAGATCTGAAAAATAATGGCATAGTCCCTGGAGTGGTTTTACATAATGTGTGTAATGCAAAAATAATAAACATACGCCAACAAGTAGGGTTAATTTGAGTTACAAATGTAATTGGAAGAGGACATGGTTCTTATCAATCACCTTCTTTACAGCTCTACTTTAACTGGGGTTTTGTGCTGGAAAGTAAGTTTCAGTGCATGTGCACACACACACTTGCATGTACCATGTCTTATTCTGCTACCAGTGACACTGCGGTAAATCTTGACTTTTGTAAATTTAAATAATTAAATCCTTAGGTAAATATTCAATATTGTGATATAAATTGAGCTGATGTATGTATACTATGCAGATACTCCCCTGAGATAACACTTCAACACAAGATAATAAAACTCTACTGGAATTTCCCAAATGGTTGGCAAATAATCAGCACTGAAATATTTTACTTTATTTTTCATAAGGTTTAAAAACAGGAGACAATAAGATTATCTTATTAAATAACAATTTTTTTGTGTTTTTTTTTCTACTATTTTAGGCTAAACATTTTGACAAAACCAGCAGAACTTTTCCAACTAAGCTGACGTTATGGTAGCTGATGGGTCTTTTATGGTTTATGGGTGTTGTGTATATAAGAAGTGCCTGCAGAAGTGGTTCTAAAATAGTGCAGTATTTCATTATCTGGCATCTGAAAATCTCTCTGAAAAAAACCAATATTTTGAAATGATGAGGTGTACAAACCAAAAAGCTGACAGTTTTGGGTGTCTCTACAAGCTTTCAGCAATTGAACCTTTTTGAAGACATGGACTGCCATCAGTCATCAGAAAAATGGGGATACATATCTTTTTTTATAAAGTGGAAGCAAAAGGTTACAAATATCTGGTGACCACCAGAATGTTACAGAAGTGTTCCTCTCCTGATATAAACAATCGCCCTAAGTCTCACATGGCATGAATATCCCAAGGGACAGGTTTTTCTTTCTGATGGGATATGTGCTTGGTTTGTAGCAAGCCTCTCCAATAATCTTGTAAATAAAACCTGTCTACAAGATAACCATGCCAGTTTCGGTGTGGGAGGGTGTTGCTTAGGAGGGATGGGGGGAGGGCGACCATGGCCCTACGCTGGGGCTCCTGCCATAGGTAGGAAGCTGCCACTCAGAATCTGACAGAACCAGAGCCTACTGGGAGACAGTTATACTGGAATATGCCTGCTGACTGTGAGGTACCACTTATCATCCAGCATCAGGGCTGTCTGCTAGCCAGCAGCCAGGGGAAGTCAGGGGAAATAGACCCTCTGGATGTCTGTGGCAGAAGAAAACAAGTGGCTTCTAAAGCAAAATGTAAAGGATGTTGGGAAAGAAGCTGTGGACTTCATGTCAAATCCCAGGAAGACCTTGGGAACTGACCTGTCAGCCTGGGAAGATCATGAAACACTTCCTCCATAGAGGCTATGCTAAGGTATATAGAGGGCAGAGAGGTAATTTGAGACAGCCAGCATGGCTTCACCAAGGATAAATCTTGCCTGATCAACCTTTCTAGGATGCGGTGACTACCTCAGGGGACACGGGAAAGGCTACAGATGTCGTCTGTCTGAAGTTATGTAAGGTCTCTGACACAGCCCTCAGAAAAGTCCTTCTCTCTAAATTGAAAAGATTGGACTTGAGAGATGGACTGTTTGATGGATAAAGAATTGGCTGGATGGTCACATACAGTGTGTAGTGGCCAACAGCTCAATGGCCTGATGGAGGTCAATGACAGGCAGTGTCCTCCAGAAGTCCGTACTGGGATCGGTACTGTTCAATCTCTTCAATAATGACATAGTGGGATCAAGTGCACTCTCAGCAAGTCTGCAAACTACGTCAAGCTGAGTGGTGCAGTTGACATACCTGAGGAATGGGATGACATCCAGAGGGACGTGAAAAAGCTCAAGAATTAGAACCTCATGAAGTTCAGCAAGGCCAAGTACAAGTTCCTGCACCTGGGTTGAGGCAACCTCCAGTACCAATACAGGCTGTGAGATGAAGGAATTGAGAGCAGCTTTGTAGAGAAGGACTTGGGCAAACTGGTGGATGAAAAGCTGTCAGTGTATGCCCACAGCCCAGAAGGCCAATCATACCCTGGGCTGCACCAGAGGAGCTGTGGCCAGCAGGTCAAGGGAGGTGATTCTGCCCCTCTACTGTGCACTGGTGAGACCACATCTGAAGTACTGCATCCAGCTCCTTAGTTCAGGAAAAAAATGGACATATTGGAGTGTGTGCAGGGGAGAGCCACAAAAATGCTCAGGTGATTTGAACACCTCTGCTATGAGGCAAGGCTGAGAGAGTTGGGCTTGTTCAACCTGGAGGAGGTTCTGGGGATACCTTTTGGGGGCCTTTCAGTACTTACATGGGGATGAGGAGAGACTTTTTAGGAGGGGCTGTAGCACTAGGACAAAAGGTAACGGTTTTAAACTGAAGGAGGACAGGTTCAGACTAGTTGTAAGGAAGAAATTTTTTTTACAATGAGGGTGGTGAAACACTGTAAGAAGTTGCTCTG